ATCGATATTTTCCACGACCACAATTAAAAAAAAAATATATTTATTTTTAAGTCCATTTCAGTCAGTTTATAATTCCTTGTTATAGGGAAATTCTAAATATCAATTTTGGGCATTTTAGCCTTTGTAGTTAGTTAAATATTTCAGTTTTTGCATTTTTCAAAATTGTAGTTATATAATAGGGTGGCATGACAGTAACTATAAATTACCAATTTTTTGTAAAAAGCTTCGCCTATCTTATAACGTACCTTGTGCAAGATTTCATTAATCTATCTTCAATAGATTTCGAATTACAGAATTAAAAGCAGCTAGATGGGTCAAATCTTACACTGTGCGACGCACGCGATCTTTCTGACTTGTGTTGGCCTTAGCGATGCCAAATTTTGGATATGTGGACGGCTGCATTGAAATTCAACGCCAACGCAACGCCAAAGTTGTATGTGAACCGGCCTCTATTCTTTGTTTACGCAAATTTTCCTATGTCAGCATATACATACATACACATGTACATACATACGTCCTTGAACAACAGGCCACAAATAAATTTGTTCACAAAGGATTATGTCCATATATTTCTTTCAGGTATACGGCATAACTGCTACAAGTACAGCGTGGCCACGCTGTAAATAGCAAACTATTTTGGGGTGTTAAAAAGTGCTTAGTTGTTTTTTGTTTCTGCGGCACAAACGATTTACTATCCTCTTTACTTATTTTCTCTGTAAAGACAAAATACATGCATATGTACATACATATATACATACATACGGAAAAAGCTTCTTTTTTTTGGAAATTTCAAGACCCACTACCCACTAATTTTATTCGCTTTTATGAGAAATATTATTACCTACTTTTATAGATTTTTTAAAGGTAATTTAGAGGTCACGACCTGTCGATTTAGGTCAGAAAATAGGATTTTATAGATTTATGAGTTTTTGAATGACTATTTTTGATTCCATTTCAAAGATCGAATATGATCTGAGCAGAGGATATATGAGCCTTTAAAATGGTATATAAAAATCTATTGTTGCACTAGGCTCGTTTCGCTTTTTTATCGGGTAAATTAAAAATAGACTCCTATTTATCCAAATTTTTTAAATTTTGATCATCAATAATTTCCACAATTTCAAAATATGGAGTACTATTTAAATTAAATCTATTTTCAAATAAACTGAATGCAATCGCATTAAAATTGTCGAAGTTAGACGACTTTTCTTAAATACGGCCTTGAATTTATATGTGTGTATGTACCGGAATTTGAGATTTTATTGGCAGTGTGGCTAAGAAATTCATCGATATTTATTAAAAATTAATATTTACAATAGCTTTTTAGCAAAAAAGTGGTTTTTCAAGAAATTTTAGGAAAATGGGGGTCGCACCGCCCACTTATATCATATGTGTGATATACACACCTACTTGACCGATCTCGAACCGAATATAATCGTTATCATGAAGGATTTTTATTTAAGAATCATTGTATAATCGTTATTTTATGGTTTTTATTTTTTCAATCATAAATAATCGTTATTCTTTGACTTTTATTTTTTCAATCATTTCAAACCGTTATTTTATGATTTTTATTTATTCGATCAAAAATAATCGTTATTCTTTCTTCTTATCGTTATTCTTTAATTTTTATTTTTTTTATCATTTTCAATCGTTATTTTATAATTATTTTTTCGATCATTTTTTAATCGTTATCTTATGATTTTGATTTTTTCGATCATTTTTAATCGTTACTTTATGATTTTTTTTTTTTTCGATCAAAAGTTATCGTTAATCAGTGATTTTTATTTTTTCGATAATTTTTAATTGTTATTTTATGATTTTTATTTTTTCGATCATATTTTTAGGATTAAACTCGTCTGATCCTATAAAACAAAAAAAAAAAATAGTAGTGTCGAAAATTAAAGCAACAAACTAGAGATGGGCAAAAGTCGTGCTTTTCTACGTGACACGTCGTGTCACGCTTTTTCACGCGTGAGCGTGAGCGGCTTTCAGTGAAAAATCACGTAATATCCGTGATCGTGCGTGCCTGAAATTTTCGCGTGCGTGAGTGTGCGTGAGTTAGATTTTCGTCAATCACGTCATTTTCACATATGTATGTGGCAACATTTATTCTTTTTTCTTTGAAATTGGAGGCATTCTGTAATATTCATTTGCACATCTACAGTTTTTCGGTTTGACTACAGTTAGGCGCAAACTTTAAAGAAATTGCATGTCAATGTCACTCAAGTATGTGTTGTAACAGGGATAGTACCGGGTGACTTTTTCCATGCAATTGCTTTGAATTCATTTTCCTAACGCCTAACAGAGTAAATCCTGATCTCTTTCTGTGCTGGCAACAAAATCGAATCAGGGCGCCGATGAACAGCTGAAAAGTGCTACTATTTTCACATCTATTCTACTCTTACTTAGGTAGACTGCACTTGATGAAAAGAGCGCTCGACCTCAGCACGATTCCCAAATTCTGGATGATGACACTCCTTCTACCTCGAAAAGGGCAAAAACCCGTGCAACTTTTGACGAATTCAAAAATGCGACAAATGAATCTGCAGAAACAGTTTTTGAAGAAATTAATACGGAAATACAGATGTATTTGAAAAAATCGGAAAACAAAAGTTGTGACGATGTTTTAAAATTTTGGGAGAAAGCTAAAGATTTGCCCCTTCTTAGAAGTCTTTCAAGGCAAATTTTAAACATAGCAGCTAGCTCAGCAACTAGTGAAAGAGTTTTTTCTGTGTCAGGCAGATTTCTGGAAGAAAGACGTTCACGACTGCTTGGTGAAAACCTCGACAAAATATTATTTTTAAACAAAAATATGAGCTAATGTCATTTTAATATTACATACGTTGAATAAATATTGATACCAATTCTTTTTATACTTGTAATACACATAAGTATGTATATCTGAAATTTGTTAAAATAATAATAGTGCCTTCAGCCCTTTCTAGGCGTTTGGCCAAGCTTTTGTATTAATAATTGTGTGATAAAAAGCTATTTATATGAAATACTATTTATATAAATAAAGTTTAAATTTCAAAAAAATGTCCGTGAGAAACCGTGCGTGAGCGTGCGTGATTGAAAAAATAGGCGTCGTGAGCGTGCGTGAACGTGATTGAAAAAAATATAGCAGGACGTGAGTGTGCGTGATTTAAAAAACCATCAAAGTGAGCGTGCGTGAACGTGAGCCAAAATTACTCACGTGCCCATCTCTATAACAAACGTAGATTTAAGCATGGGCGGGCCAGGTAGGGGGTGCTAGAGGAAAATTAAAACAAAATGGATTTTAGTCATTGTACGTGATTGCATTCTTTATACCAGTGCATTTACTAAATATTAACTACAAAAGTATTTAAGATATTATGTTATATGTAGTAAATAACTAAGTATTATGTACTTACGAATTTCGTCACTAACTGCCGAGTATGATATCAACTACATGAGTAAATGTATGTAAGGTATTAGAGCGTGATAGCTCCATATCTTTCTTGAAACCTCCTTAATTTAGAGATTAAAATACCACTTTGAATTCCAGCTTTAACGCTTTATGTAAAAAATGCAAACTTCCGAATAAGGTTGTCATCTTAAAAAAAAAAATTTTTGCGTTATACATACACTGAGGGAAAAAAAATTTTAGAATTAAAAAAAACGTGCTAAATTTAAAAAAATACGCATATGAATGAGCACCAACCCAACTCGTTTTAAATTTGAGAATGTAAGTTATAAAATATGTCGTTGTGAAGTGCACAGATGCTTTTTCGTTATACGAAATTATAATTAAGAAAAAAAAAACAATTCTTATTTTATGATCTGTCTGATGGTAATTGAACCCGAGCCCTCTTGGCAGCAACCAATTGTATCAAACGTCTTTGCGCACTCAGCTACAGCCATACATGTAAATGTGTTTTCAAATGTTGAGTTTGAATCTACATCACAGCGCGCGATTAGTGCATTATGTCATACCATGTATGTGTGTACGTGTGTATGTGTTGTCACCGCTGTGCATGCTTTGTATACATATACTTTCTTAATTACATATGAAACAAGTAATTTTTAGCAAAAAAAAATCGACTTCAACTCTCATATAAAAATAATAATATATATATATATATCTTATGATCCACTGATAGTATGGGACCACCTCTGAGACACTACCTTTCCGATGCAAAAGGAATTATCGAAATCGGTTGACGTGTTCCAAAGTTATGCGGTAACATACATAAAAAAAAAAAAAAATATTCCGACGAACTGATAACCTCCTCCTTTTTTGGAAGTCGGTTAAAAAGCATCCGAAGCGTGCAAAACGCCAGCCGTGCAGTGAAAAATGCTTAATTTTAATACGAGCGTATTTGAATTGAATATTTCCATTATACGTAGTGTAAGTACAATGGAAAAATCCATTTTGTTAACACTTTTCACGTGATTTAAATACGAGCATTTTTAAACGGTAATCAAATAAAATTTTTTTATTATTACAACGCGTTTTTTTCTCAGTGTAAGAATAACTGATATTTTTGATCAAAAAAATTAAAATCATAGTATAACGATTAAAAATGATCGAAAAATAAAAATCATAAAGTATCGATTAAAAATGATCGAAAAAATAAATATCACAAAATAACGATTAAAAATTATCGAAAAAACATATCACTTCTAATTTTTTTCAAATTATTGTTGCTTTTCCACAATAAGTTTTTCATTAAAAACGGCCTCGAGCTCAATACAAATTGTTGAAAAAACATAACGATTAAATATGATCGAAAAAATTAAAATCACAACATAACGATTAAATTTTGATTTTTAATAAAAATCATATACATAGTACTTTTTACTCTTTCGTTAAAATTGTAATAAGCGCTTTTAGTTTTTTAAACTACAATTTTATTTTCATCTTTTTAGTCTTAAAACTCGAAAGTATGCGTGTTATTAGTTTTTTAAGCTATAAAATTATTTACTCTTTGCATAGAATCCCTTCCTTAAATCAATATAAAATACTGTATTACCTTTTCCCGTTTTTCTCCAGTTTTAAAATCAAGTTGTTCTGTTTGCGCAAATACTGTCATAACATCAGCAATTCCTCCATTTGATATCCAGATTTTAGAGCCATTAAGAATGAAATATTTTCCATCTTCACTTTTTATAGCACGTGTCTTTATCGAGCCAGCATCAGAACCAGAACTGGGTTCAGTAAGAGCGAAGGCTGCATACACTTTTCCAGAAGATAATTGGGGTAAGTATTTTTCTTTCTGTTGTTTAGTGCCAAATAACAAAATTCCTTTGAACCCTATACTTTGGTGCGCTCCTAGAGTTATTCCAACCCCTAGATCATTAGCTCCCAAAATCTCGCACAAACGTCCATATTGTGTATTGCCAAGACCTAAGCCTCCATATTCTTCGGGAACCTGGATGCCAAATGCTCCGAGATCCCATAATTGATCAAGGACAACGTCATCTATCGATGAGTTTGTATCGTTTCGTGCAGCGTTATTCACTTCCTGAAAAAAAAAATTTGTATTATTTATTATCAATAAAATATAATAAAAAATAAAAAATTTCAACCTTTCATAACTGCACATTTCTTTGTTTATGCATATACAACACATAAATTGTGTATTATTTGCCATTAAAACACTAATCTGGAAAACGGCGAAGTTTAAAACGGTGTGAATGTTAGGTTGTTTTCCAAAACGCAAAGTGCAAGTTTCAAATGGCTAAAAATTAAAGTAGGAAATTTTCGTCCTACGAATAAACACAATTTATTTTTATATGGAAGAAAACCGTAACACATTAGGTAAAATAAAAAATCAAGGGTAATTTTAAGCCGTTTGAAACTTGGACGATATTCTACTTGAATTCAATGGGCTATAAAACTGCATACTTAAAACCTTTCTAAGAAATCTAATTAAAAAGCTCGTAATTTTTGTAGAATATATACATATACGAAACTTGGATTTACACGGATTTTGTTAAAAAATGAACTATATTTTTATAAAAAATAACTAAAATTTAACAACATTAGAAAAATAATTAGTTAAAACCTGTCAATATGTGGTGCGGCTGTAATTTTTTCGACCGCTGTGTAAGCACTGGAATATATATACATTTTAAAGATGTTAACAGAAAACTTTTATGGGGTATATTATTTTTTTTGTACGAGCAGGTAGTGTATCTTGTTACTAAAAAAGTAAATAATGTTCTCGAACTGAAACGAAGCAAGTAAAGAAGTATAAGTTCGGGCGAAATCGAACTTTATATACCCGGCACACGTATTAAATATCGTTTTTTTTTCAGAAGAGTATTTTTCCCAATGTAAACAGTTTCAATAATATGCTATGATATATCATCAATTATATAAATAGGCAATCATGTTTCCTTTACACCCCTTTTACGGCTAAACTGTACTTCTAAGGTATAAACAATTATATATCATTAGAAAGGTATTTTGATGCTGATGTGCAGGCAATTTTTAAAATTTCAAATTAGTTTAAAATAGAGCGAAAAAATCAATTCAAAAGT